GCTTGTTAACCTGAAGTAATAATTTTGAAGAGGGTTGCCAACTATCTAGAAATTTAAATCTCGATATATATGTATAAAACAAAGTTGCTTCCGTAATACCGAGCATAGAATGGATTGTCCTATTTAGGGTTGCCTACATTTTCTAAGAAACTTATAGTAAATTTAAAAAAAAAAATTTGAAAAAATATAGCACACTTCAAATATATAGAGTATTATTTTTTTGAGAAGAAGAAAAATGATTTTTCAGTACACATCTTTTTTCTTTCTTATGCATTTCCTCTATAAAACAATATATTTCTTTGAAAGTATCATATGCTTTATCGCTATCAATATTTAAATTAATATAAATCAAAAGTTCAATTTTTATTAGTGAGAAATTCACTTTATTTCTCTCATCTCACCATTTCAAAATCTAAATAGAAAAAGCTCTTTCTGTGAATGCCGAATTTGCAGGAATAGAGAGTATAAGCGAAATAATTTTAAGTAAATTTGGTAAACCTTTCTAAGTATTTTTAAAAATGTTCCGATTTTTGATCTTTGTTTTAAAGTATACTTATTTTAATATTGATATTTCAGTATAAATGTCATCCGTTTAAAAACATTTCTTTCTTACAAATTACTGAAATATGTCTATATTTATAATTAAAGAAATATAGTAATTTTGCATACTATATTTTTTTCCAACAGTATATAGTACGCAGACCCAAAAATAGTACAATACTATATATTATTTGCGAATATGGTTCGACTGGTTCGAAAATAGTTTGAATTCTTCGACATTGTACTTTCAGTGTCGGTAAACCATTCGCCGATCAAAATACTCAAAAACGCGCCCAAGTTAATGAACAGCTTTGAGTGCATATTTACGTCGCAAATTTATGCAGGATGACCACAGGAGGCTCCATAACAACTGAAACAAAAGCGAGATTCCGATCTGCATCGTAATAAATAAATAAATAAATAAAATGACGCACCATTGAGTATGTCGAACTTCTGTGAGTTACGGTTGGTCCATNAGAGAGAAGAAGTACCGTGCCGTTCAACATGACGCACCATTGAGTATGTCGAACTTCTGTGAGTTACGGTTGGTCCATCTGATGTAATTTGCTAATTTTACAATGCGATCTTTTATATGAGGCAACATGATTTAGTTCTGCAGTAGTTTAAGTCAAATTGCTACAGTTAACTGAACCACCAGAACCCCTGAGCTTATAAATTTAGGGCGAATTACCAGAATAAGGACAATTCTTGATGAATGCCTACAAATCCAATGATTAGGCAGCTAGAGGATTGCATCTTAAATAAGTATATGTATACTGGATTTATGTGGACCAACGATAGTCACTCATTTTGAACTTGCCACCAATTATGCTGTACAGATTCAACACCGAACCAGATCATTGTAAAAGACAGTGAATTAAAGGAAGAAAGTTATTAAAATTTATTTCGTTGGTAACTCTGATATTGAAACTGATCACCGTTGGGCGTTTAACTTTGCTATTAAACGCCAGATCATTGGAAAATTGCAAGAACTTCGTCACGGACACAACGCTTTGATTGAGTTATTTAAAATGGCAATGGAGAATATGTCATCTCAACATCTGACATCCAAAAACCCATAATTAGTGTTGTACCAAAATGTTCCAACAAAAAATTAATTTTGGGTTAAAAGAAGTTCGCCGGGTACGCAACTAAAACTTATATGCATATACATATTTATGTAAATTTAGGATCTATAATTTAAAGCCTAGACGAAGTATAAGGAATAGGCCATTTATATGGACACCAACTGCAGTGAAAAACAATCAGGCATACTTCCAAAACAAAACATTACAATGATTGCTCTAATTGGCTGCGGTTGAGCCACCGCGTATACATGCAAAGTGAGAAACAAGCATCAAAACAGCGATTCACAGATTTGACCTAGAGATGCGTTATGTGATGAGCCTCGGCTGCTTTTCGGATGCGTGCGGAAGGGTATGTGTTGGCGTAATGCAACAGTATACTTGGTGCGTATGCATTGCGATTGAAAGTCTGGAAGATTGCCCATGCATCACTAAATAGGAAGGATCTACCAATAATTATAAAATTTTTGTTTAAATTCATTCATTTTGCTTGATTTAACATCATTTGATAATTCATTAAAGCATCTTAATCTTTTATAATACAAGTTACATTAATCTATTTCCGTTTTATAAGCAGGTAGATTGAAATCATTGTTATTTCGAGTATTTTTGGAGTGTACATTATTGAAATACTTTATGTTGCTTTTTAAGTAATCAGGCAAGTTGCCATCTACAATGTTCCTAATAAATTGCATTGTGTAGTAAAAAAGTTGTTGTTTAACACTCACCCAACTTGATTCGGCCAACATGTCTCTGATATGTGTGTCATAACGTTTTCTAAGGATGAATCGCATGGCTCTGTTCTGTTGCTTTTGCAATTTATAAATTTTATTATCTCTCATTATGAAAAAAATAGTAGGACAATAAGTAAAATGAGGTTCGATTATATATCTATATACCATCGTCTTATACCTTCTACTCAAGTATCTGCAGGTACTCTGCGTAAAGTATAATTTTTTTGCGATCTTGCCTACAGTATAATCAATGTGTTCATTAAAGACTAGTTTAGCATCGATCTTTATTCCTAGGTATTTGAATGTATTAACCTTTTCCAGTGCTTCGTTGTTTATATTTAGAGTTAGCAACTCACTATTCTCAAAATTTCGCCTTGATATAACCAGCTATTTCAGCTATATTTTCTCCACTTAGCATAAGCAACGTATTATCAGCAAATAACTTAATATCGCAATACTTTATGCAATTAATAATAGCCGTCTTTTATTTGTCCAGAAATTTAAGCTATTAGCTTATTTTGTATGGAGGACTTACCCAACATAATTATATTGGCGTATGAAAAGCTATCTTGGCTTGTATATTGAACAAGAAGCATTGCTATTCAGCATCAGAAATTTTCACCTTCAGCCAATCAGAAAGAGGCAAAAACTTTCTTTGACACTATTTGCAGTCAAACAACTGTCAAAATTAGGCTAACATAGGAAATAAGCTAATTTCGTTTTATTTGACCAAGATTTAGCTACTTGCCTGTGATGGTTGAATAAAACATGCCTAATGTCATTAATATATATATAGAACAAAATTGGAGCTAGCACAGATCCTTGAGGCAGTCCGACAGATACACTTCTTTTATCGGATATTGATGATCCAATCGCAGTTCTTTGATATCGATTCGTAATGAAGTTTTCAAACCACTTTAGTTCGATAACATTTACGCCTATATTGAATAGCTTTTTTTGTAACAGTTTATGGTCGATCGTCTCAAAGGCACGTTTTAAGTCTAAGAATACAGCTATTATATGTTTATTCCTGCTCAGGTCTTCTTTCCAGTTAGCAATGGCCAGGTTCAAAGCGCTTTCACAGGAATGCCTATTACGGAATCCTGATTGTTGTGGTATAACAATCTTATTATTTTCCAAATATTGTACAAGTTGATTTTTAACCACTCTTTCAAGTATTTTTTCATCACAGGGCAATGTGTTTATAGGTCTAATCTCATCAGCTTTAATAGTATTATTTGTTTTTTCCACTGGTACGACAATGGAAGTTTTCCAGTGATTTGGGACTATACCTTTCTCTAGACTTTAGTTAACAATTTGAGTGTAAAAATACCCAGTATAAGTTATAGAGTCTTTAATGACTCCTTCGGGTAATAGCTTCTTACCACCAATCTTATTTTTGAATTTTCTAACTATATCTAGGATGTCATAATAATAATAATAATAATAAGGTAATAACAATCAAAAATTTGTTACGCCCAAGTATGAAGACATTTTATTTTATTATATTATATATTGTTTATAAATGAATTATATTTTTACAAATCATATGTTTTGCGGCATATGTTTTTGAGAAAAGTACACCGTAGTAATTTTAAAATAACATTTCTCGACTGAAAAATAAGATATTCGAGCTAACTCCACGGCACACAGTGTGCTTTTTTAACACTTCATTCCAATTAATCGTAGAGCTTTCGACAGAAGCAATATTTTGATATGAAGCAAAATGGCTTTGAAAGCTAATTTAATTGCCTTTCAAGGAAAAATATTGCCATTTAGCCGCAATCACTCCTTGACCTTAAACAAATTGGTGAAAAATAGTGTTATTTGAAACAAAACATGCAAAATTCAACGGATATATTAAAAAAAAAAAAAACATTTTTTGGATTTTTTATTATACTAGTACTATAGATGTTGAGACGAGAAACACGATTCCACTGTTGAAAAACCGAAAAAAGTTTCAACCCCTCAATTTTAAAAATGTATTATATATGCCATTTTTTTATTTGCATACAGCTGTGCATCCTTCACACAATTTTTATCCCTCGAACGTTAAGTCAGTTTTAGTGCTATTCCTGCGACCTTTCATTTAAGCTAAGGTAGAAGTCTCTAGGCCCTTTGAGAGCTAAATTATTATGATTCTAAAGTTAAACTTCGAAATTTCATTCGACATTTTACGCATTTTTTTTCTAATTTCTGAGTAAAAACTAGTACAGCAGCCTAGAGGCTTCTACCTTGGCTCAAATTAAAGGTCTTGAATTGCACTTATGTTCGGGATATAAAATTGAGTGAAGGATGCACAGCTGCGTGCAAATAGAAAAAAATGCAATAACCCGGCTAGAAAATATAGCTCTATTTTACAATGGCCCTAGCTCGATTCACCCCTTTAAATTCATGGGCCTTCCAAGAAAAGTTTGGCCAGGCCCGTGATGGTTTGTTAATGCTTTGGATTGATTGGGGCCTGGTAACGAGTTCTATTCTGGAGCTAGGCAGATTTTCCAAAGTAGGCCCCAGCCAGAGGGCTGAACTTTGCTTTCATGGGCCTTATAAGAAAAATCTAACTGGGCCCTTGCTTGCGAAGTTTATGTAGGCCCTAGACAGATTTTTTGAGACGCTCTAGGTGAATAAAAATAAAAAATGCTTTTTTTGAAAATATGATTATTATTGTAATTAAGTACAAAGTTGAATTTTTTTTTGCTTTCGCTTTTTCTTGAACGCCTGATCTTCTGGTTTTCCTTTGCCCGTCCCAGTTTTTCGCGTTCGTCCGACACGAACCCAGTAAATTTGCGAATTCCTGATCACAAATATCATCTTTTCTTGTCGTATTAATAAAATCTGAAGAATAAACAAAACGATTATTTTTGTTACTATACATGTGAACGTGTGTATGCAATGTATGTTTATACATATATGCACATAGCTAAGCCCCGCAAATATATTCGGAGTACCAAAAAAACTTTTAAATATTCCTCTAAATTTTAGAGTCCCAAATGAGTGGTATATGAGGCCACATATGGGCCGTTTATTTTGAATGTAGCATACGTCACTTCATATCTCTTGTGTTTAAATGAGCGGTAACTTGTAACCGAATGCATTTGTAAATCGTTCTATCGTCGTAAACTAATGACAAAACCTTTTACCTTTGGCCGATGAAGTTGTACGAATAACCGGAATGTTCAGATACAGGTAACCGGCCATTTAAGCACAAGAGGTGTGAAGTGACTTATGCCGGTTTTAAAAAGAAGCGGCTTATATATAACCGCGTCTGAGTTTAGCACATTCTGAGGTAAGCGCTCCGAGCTGGGGCTCTTTTTTGACTATAAATATTTGCTGGATAACTCACCGAATATGAAATTTTATTGTGTTCCTTTTTGAAAATCTGTTTCTCCGGCCTTTTTCTTACAGCTGTGTATATCATGGCAACTCGGCGGGAGATTATGTTTTTAATAATATTCGCTGAATTTACTGCAAGTGTTTTGCGTCGATTAAAGAGACTCATCGTAGCCAATTTCTGAAATAGTCATCAAAATATGAATATGTTGTCCCTTCAAAAATTCATTTGTATTAGTGTTTCTGTACTCGTGACTAGTAATAGACAAGTTTCTGGTACTAAACCGTTGCTTATCATAAAAACTAGTGATGTATTGTGGAACGTTTTCCGTCGTTCTCTCGACAGCGAAAAATAATACTTAGGATGGCACAGCGCCGAAACCGATTTACTACGAACCAAAGTTGACAAGGGATGAAGGAAAATCATTCTACAATGCATCATATTTCTACCCTGTCGGAAACATAAACGACCAAAAAGAAGAGCGTGAAAACACAAACTGTTGCAAACGATTCAACAGGAAGATAAATAAACGTTTAGGTAGTGAGTGAATCATTAAATAATGGCGAATTGTTGAATTTTTAAATAAAATTTAATTTAAGCATCCATCATCTGTTCACTTACTAATCTCTACTAGTTTTCGGTTTCTTATATTTTGCTGGTTCTTCCTTCTTGCCTCTGTTTGTGAGTGTAAAGAAACAAAGCTTGTCCAAAACTTACGAAATACGCGCAGAACAAATCATCTTCCATTAATTTTTGGCTCAACGTTGTTAAGTTTTGCTCAACAGAGACTGGTAACTCGATGCCATATTTCTCAATAAAGGAATGAATATTTGATGTCACGCGATAACCGTTTTCATGACATCTGGCCGAATAATCACTATTCTGGAATGCGTTGATTAATTCCTTCACTTCTCAGTTCAGACCGTAAAAATTTTATTTCGGCTTCGATTCCAGTTTATTTTTTCAGAATTTCCATCAAACCTAAGAAATTTATTTAGTTTGATCAATTAATAAACACTGCAGTATAATAATAAAATACTGCAATATATTAATAAAGTACTGAAGTAGAATAGCTTTTGAAGTGGGGCTCTCAAATTCTAAAGCCATTATCTATTGACTAATTTATATATTTTTGATTGCTGTTGTGATAATGTGTCACTGTTTAAAATTATTTGCCTCTGCATCAATACGTTAGCATTCTGCAACCCATTTTGTAACAAACTGTGAACACCACATGTGTATAATTACCTTAAAAGCATTTTAAAATTAATAATGGTGGTTAATGAGTTTCAGTTTTGAGAGTCCCATTTCAGACATTTTTTTGAAACTTGATTATAGGTTACTTTGGGGCTGTTTGATTTTTGGGATGTTGTTGCATAGGAAAGAGTATTTAAGTTCTCGCTTCTCACCAGTGTTGCCAGAACTTTTTGGACGAACCGGCTAAATTGGCAAATAAAACCGGCTAAAAACGGCTAAAATGTTTCAACTAAATTTCACACGACACGAAGACTATTTCTTGGAGAGAAGTTACAAATTCGAGCCGGAAAAAATTTTGCCAGCAAGAATTTGCAATTAGGAAAAACATGATTGTGGCACATGGTTGGATTTTTTGTCGACGATAATTTGAATAAACAAGTTCGTTAAATTTAAAAATTTACATACTGGATCGATTTTAAAATGAAAAATTTAAGTTAATACTTGTTTACTTAATTAATTTAGTTAATTCCAATGATTTGAAAGGTATTCGGCAAAACAAACTGTATTCTTAATCGGAATGCTGTCTCAACCAGAGTCGATATAGTAAACCCGACAAAGAAATTGAAACGTATGTTGAAGAAAGTCGGACTGACAAAATATATACACGTAGACCCTGTTTTTTACCCCGCTGAAAGAATCTTAAAAATTCTATACAAATTTCTTTTGTTTGAAATGAACCGTGGACACTAGCTGGCAGAAAATCTTGCCAATTTGCGTTCGTACAGAAAATTGCAAGTTTCTCTACTTGAGAGAAAATTTGGGAGCATTTTTTCTTACTATCTGATATTTTGAGTGATAATTCTCGCTGGATTTTCGACGAACAAACTTATTGTCTTCCCTACGAGGCCTTTTCAGACTAACCGATTCTAACTACACTCAAATAGAAACCAATACACATAAAAACGCTGTAAAAATTTCCATTCAATTTTAAGGCAGTAAAACAGCGACCTTAAGTTAACATCAACCGAGGCCATATATTGACAAGGGATGCAAAATCACAGTTACACAAAAGAACTGGTCACATTTTTCAGAAATCCCTTCAATTCTGATGATGCCAAAAGACTGCTAATCTCCCATTTAAATGACGGGTCATATGACCGGCAGATGTCTCGTAGGATTCCCAGAGAGTTTTGCTTTACATAGAAATTTGTGCTCTTTTATTTTAATTTTGATTCACTTCAGTGNACACGAAGACTATTTCTTGGAGAGAAGTTACAAATTCGAGCCGGAAAAAATTTTGCCAGCAAGAATTTGCAATTAGGAAAAACATGATTGTGGCACATGGTTGGATTTTTTGTCGACGATAATTTGAATAAACAAGTTCGTTAAATTTAAAAATTTACATACTGGATCGATTTTAAAATGAAAAATTTAAGTTAATACTTGTTTACTTAATTAATTTAGTTAATTCCAATGATTTGAAAGGTATTCGGCAAAACAAACTGTATTCTTAATCGGAATGCTGTCTCAACCAGAGTCGATATAGTAAACCCGACAAAGAAATTGAAACGTATGTTGAAGAAAGTCGGACTGACAAAATATATACACGTAGACCCTGTTTTTTACCCCGCTGAAAGAATCTTAAAAATTCTATACAAATTTCTTTTGTTTGAAATGAACCGTGGACACTAGCTGGCAGAAAATCTTGCCAATTTGCGTTCGTACAGAAAATTGCAAGTTTCTCTACTTGAGAGAAAATTTGGGAGCATTTTTTCTTACTATCTGATATTTTGAGTGATAATTCTCGCTGGATTTTCGACGANATGATGCCAAAAGACTGCTAATCTCCCATTTAAATGACGGGTCATATGACCGGCAGATGTCTCGTAGGATTCCCAGAGAGTTTT